AAAAAAAGGCTCCGAAAAAAAAAAATTTAAAAATAGCATTGGGTCCTGAAACTTCAACAAGATTCTCAAGGCTTAAGAAACAAATGAAGAGGGGGCCTGGGGCGGGAGAGGCTACATCACCCACACGCAATTATAAAAATGGAATTAAGTGAGGGGGAGCAGATTATTTGCCTGCTGAGGAGCTCACTGCTTCCTCGTGCCTTGGGCTGCTCTGTGGCTTGGCTCAGTCAGTCACAGCTTGAGCTGCTGTCCCAAGGGTGGCTTCTGCACAGCCACCCGCCTGCTGTCCCCATCACTGGCTGTGTGCCACAGCGGTGACGGACCCATCGCAGCAAACTGCAGGGCCACAGGCGAATGGGGGAAACCTGCATCCAAAACCCACAGGGGGGGACGGGGCTCATCCCTGGCCGTGCCCTTCTCACTAAGGGAGCTAAAAATTGTTTTGAAAATCTGGACTTGATGGGTCCTTAGCCAGCTGACAGCAAGGGGAGCCTGCTCTGGCTGCAGCCTAAGCCAGCGTGGGCTTCAGCTCAGCTTTGGGATGGTTGGAGGGAAGGTAAAGGCACGGTGAAAGTGCCTAGGAACTAATCTTGCACGGCTGTCCCTGGGCCCTGCTGAGACTTGCTCTGAGAAGAAGGTAGATGGCAAGGCCTTCCCTGTCCTCCCCAAAGACTATGTTGGGGACATTCTAAGGGGAGTTTGGCAAGGAATCAAGGAGAAAAGTATTCAATATATATTCAAAATGTGGAAGTGCTAAAGACACTAAAAACCCACCTAACACCCACCCCCCAAAAAAAAGAAAACAGCGCATCTCAGCACAATTAGAAAAAAACCAAAAGTCCATGCTCCCCTCTCACGCTCCACAGCTCGAAGGTGTCTGGGAGCAAGCAGACAATGGCACTGGGAGAAGCACACTGGAGCGAGACCGGAGAGAGGGGCGAGCGTGTTCCCTGTAACGTGACACCAGGCCAAGGCTCAGCGCCTTTGGGTTGTCTATTGCTTGGAGCCTGGATTCCAGTTTCCTCAGTTCAATCAATTGACCCAAAAACTTCTTATGGACTCGTCTACCTTAACAAAAAAACAAACCAACAAAAACAAAAAAAAACAAACAAAAAAATCCCAATAGAAAATGAAGCTTATATATTTTTGTTTTAGTCGAACATGCTCACTTTTTCTTTTTTTTTTTTTGGTCGAAACGTAAAAAAATTGGTTTTGTTTTTTTAAAAAAGACAAAATGTGAGGTTTGGTAAACCTTACGCATAGTGACTATACTGGTTTGAGTGGAAAAAAAAAAAAAAAGAAAAAACACAAGTGTAAACCTTAATTCAGAAGGGATGATTCTACTGGCTGTGAATTTTTACCACCACAGTCACGGGAGGCTTTAAATAAGCCATAGCTTTCCACAAGGTCACGCCAACAAAGTCAAGGGGGCCAAGAATCGGTGGGCTAAGTTCTCTGTCTTCTCTCCTAAACCAATAGCAGCTGTTGGCTGTGATGTCTTATGCAGATGTTGCAAGAACATTTTGTTTCTTTTTCTTTTCATTTTTCTTTTTTTTTTTTTTTTTTTTTTTTGTGTGCGTGTGTTAAATTGTCTAAAAGGGAGGATATGAAACACTTTGGTTTGCTTTTTCCTCCTCTCCCCCACCTTATTGCACTCTGGATTCTAGTAAATTATAGGCTGCTATGCCCTCACCCTCTGTCCTGCCAGGTGTTTACAGACTGACCCAGATGTGCTGGGGGAGTGGAAGATGAGGGGGACATTTTCCCCTCCCCATAGTATCCAGATTCAATAAACAAAGCTGGAAAGGGCCCAAAAAGCTCAGAGAAGTTTTCTTCTTTTATCTAAAAGTGACTACAAACAGCCAAGAGACTGTGAATGAGCCAGTCCAAGCAGCCAGCACAGCCTCTGGCTCAGTGTATTTTTTACTTTGTCTTTGGCCAAGCTTTGCTTTAATATTTCTCTAGCTGACTTTTGATGGAAGGACGGGGTGGTAAAAATCCCTTAACTTTAATTTAGCTTCTACTTTTATACATTTAATTACTTACAATAAGAGAAAAAAAATGCCTAATCTTTCACTAACCATCTTATTGTTCTCATGAATTCAAGAGGTAGCAAAGGTAACAAGTCTGTCCACACAGACTCGCTCTTTAGTGAGGGAGGAAAGCTAAAAACATACACACACACAAAAAATAAAATAAAAAATAATAAAAAAGTACCTAAGGAACTTGTAGCAAGTCCAGCCTACATCAAACCCCCTCCCCACCCACCCA